TGTATATAAAATTTACAATAAATGAGTGAATGGATCGATTGTGATTTGGTCTATCAGATTATGAGATGTGTTTTATAAAATAAAAATTGGTGTATGGTTAAATTTACTTAAGGCTATTGATATTGATAAAAAAACACTAACAATAAATAAGCTACATTGATTAAATTAATAGGAAGCATAGTTTATTGTAGTGAAATGTGGTTTTTCTCATAAAGTAAGGCCAATCGCAAAAATATTAATTCACATTAGAATATTTTTATGTTAGAAACAATATGATACAATTAATACATTGTATCAATTTAAACATGCTATCTAATTTAATTCTCCGTTTATAAAAGATGTCAAAAATAAACAAAAGCATTTAATTTAGTCCATCCTTATAATTAGTTGCAGACATTTATTTATTAGATTATTAACTGTAGTACAATAAATTTAATAATACAGTACATATTAGCGAAAAAATAAAACATGGTTATTAAAACACTGCAAAAAACTAAATTTTACATGCTTACTATTAATTATTAAAAACTAATTAATTTAATATGAAACAGAATGATCGGAACGATGAAAGGCCAAGATTTTACACGGATCCTTATTTAGCTCACGTGCCCGAGAATTTAGACCCGGGACACAAAGTGACACAAATTGTCGCATTTGATCCCGATATGGGAGAGAACGGACAGGTCTTCTATAAGTTAGGCGAAGGACATGACAACAAGTTTTACATCGATGGCAAAGGTTTGTCTCATTTTTTGGGCTCAATTTTGAGATAAATTTTTAATTTAATATTTTTGTCACAACAATAGACGGAACCGTTTGGACTCTTTCGACATTAGATTACGAGGAGAAGAGCTTTTATAACATAACTGTCATCGCATACGATAAGGGAAGTCCGAGTCTAAGTTCAGTGGCTAAGCTATGGGTGACAGTCGCCGACACATCCGATTCTGTGCCCGACTTTGCGAAAGCCGTTTACACTCTAGAAGTGGCCGAAAACGCCAAACCCGGGGATACAGTGTTCACAATGAATGCCGGCGACGGACCCTTCAAATACACACTTCTGAGTGAGTGATCATTAAGTGTTCACTATGATTGTGATTGAACATTATCTACATTTTTCTTGTGCTAATAAAAGCAATACATAAACTAAATCTGAAGTTCTGCTCCATTTTGTCACGACTCTAACAAACACTCAAAATAATAATTTAGCAAATCTTTTGTCATTTCTTTTATAAACATTTTCTACAGATTCAGACGAAATGAAAACCTTTTCTATCGAACAAAGCAATGGAAGAGTAAAACTGACGAAAGCGTTGGATAGCGTCCATAGAAATCATTACAGACTTCTTGTTAAGGCAGAGGACGACAGCGAACCACCAAAATCTGATACAACAGAAGTGAGTCATGTTTTCATACAATTATTGTTTTGACCGAAGGAATCATTTAAGTGACAGCTCTTTATTAGAGCATCTCCTCTATTATATGACTCTCTCTCTCTCTCTCTCTCTCTCTCTCTCTCTCTCT